CACAACGACAAGACTTGGGTTAAGCGATGGGTCACTTAGGTCACAGGCAGTCACCGCCACGGGCAGGAGTGACCGCGGGGGATCAGACGTGACCCCTGACAAGCACTGACACTAACTCTGATGACCTGGTGAAAACGCAGGCCTTAAGTATCCGAGACGTTGGCTTGGGGGGGGGGGGGGCATCCCATGACACCGAGACGATGGTTCCTTTCTGGGCAGTGTGGCGTGGGTATGCCCACGTGGCTAACGAACTGCCACGTGGCCTATACTTCCTAATACACAGTATAATGTTATCTATAGTCTTTTACTTTCTTTGTGCATCCTGTCTCTGACATATATGACATACCCATTGCCATTTTTTTCTTTTTGTTCTTCCACTTTTGTCTGTTCCTTGATCCGCGTTGCCCTCATCCGATCTCTTAGGCTAATTTCTATCTCTGGGCACTTATTAGTTTCCTCTCTAGTAATTTGGTTATAGTCCATGTTTCTGATCCAAAGATCATAACTGGGAAGACGCATTGGTTAAGACTTCTTATAGAAGGAGTCTCACAGTATGCTACTAAAGCACTCCAGCCTAGAATGATACGTCGCTTGGTACTCCAATACTGGCATTGTAGCTATAGAGATCGACCATATTCTTGTGGATACTCGCTGGAGGATCCTTCACAACTGTATAGTTATTAGGAGTGCGGAGTTCTTTGCTACCGACCACAGACTTGTTGTCGGAACACTAAGGCTCTGCCTCAGATCGAGACACATCCCGAGATCTCACCAGCAAGTGTTCTATCTCGAGAGGCTCAAGAGGAGGTGGCTCTACAGGACCCTGCTGAACTGTGGGATACCTTCAAGCGAGGAACTCTGTCAGCTGCCGAGGAGTGCCTTGGGGTCCGACCTCGGCGAAGGAGGCTTGTTGTCTCAGACGAGACACTGAACACTATAGAGATGAGTCGTGCTGCCAGACTGGATGGGAACCATGTCTTGCACAGAGAGCTGTCTCGCTCTGCTAGGGTCTCTTTGAGAGTGGACCAAGAGAGGTACGTTAGGGGCATCGTGGAAGAGTTGGAAGGTCATTTTGCCCAAAATGACCTTCGACCTGCTTTCCGAGCCCTGAGGGAACTCCAATCAAAGTTCATCTCTCAGTCGGGCTCGGTGAGGGCAGAGGATGGTCACATTTTGTCAGAGCCGGGTGAGTATAGGGCCCGCTGGGCTGAGTACTTTGAGCAACTGTATAGGGTAGATCCCCCGTCTTCACAACTCCCGTTGGCTGGCACACAGCCACTAGTGGCTGATCCACCAGTCAGTGAGGCACCACCTTCCATCGAAGAGGTGAGAAGGGCGGTCTCTAAGCTGAAGAGTGGAAAGGCTGCTGGTGTCTGTGGGATTGCTGCAGAGTTGTTGAAGGCGGGTGGAGAAGCCATGATCTGTGGTTTGCATGTAGTCCTGTCTGCCGTTTGGGAGACTGGTACCATTCCCCCTGACTGGAAAAGGGGCTTGGTCATCCCTATCTGGAATGGGAAAGGGGACCAAAAGGACTGTGGCAACTACAGAGGTATTACATTGCTCAGCGTACCAGACATGGTCCTTGCTCATCTGCTTTTGGCACAAGTGCGCGACCACCTATTACGAGCACAGAGACCTGAGCAGTCTGGTTTTACACCCAAGAAGTCAACTATAGACCGTGTCTTAGCACTTCGTGTCCTTGTGGAACGCCGACTTGAGTTTCAACAAGGTATGCTTGCAGTTTATGTTGATCTCAAGAAGGCTTTCGACTCAGTGCACCGGGAGAGTCTCTGAAGCCTACTGGGTCTCCGTGGGATCCCCCCTGGAATTATTGGTTTGCTGTCTGGTTTGCATAGAGATACTGAGAGTGCTGTCAAGTGTGGGGAGGGCATCTCTACCTTTTTCCTGGTGTCTGCCGGGGTGAGACAAGGATGTGTCCTGGCCCCAACCCTTTTCAATACTTGTATGGACTGGATACTTGGCCGTACCATGAACCATAGTTCCTGTGGGGCATCAATTGGTAATTTCAAGGTCACAGACCTTGACTTTACCGATGATGCAGTGATTCTAGCAGAGACATTAGAGGTCCTGGAAGTAGCTCTCGAGGCGCTGCATGAGGAGGCGAAGCCGTTGGGACTCGCGGTCAACTGGACCAAGACCAAGGTTCAGGAATTTGGGGACTTTTTGGATGTCGATGTTCAGTCTGTGCATGCCTGTGGCGAGAACATTGAGGTCTTGGATAGCTTCACTTATCTTGGTAGTGTAGTGCAGAGCGACGGAGGTTCTGACCGGGAAGTCACTCGACGACTTGGACTGGCCTACGGCGTTATGGACTCACTCAATAGGAATATTTGGCGCTGCCGGTATTTGACTAGAAGAACTAAGATCAGGCTCTTCAGAGCACTGGTGATCCCGGTCTTACTCTATGGGTGTGAGACCTGGACACTGAACAGAGCTCTGAAAGCCCGTCTTAACTCCTTCGGTACTAAGTGTCTTCGCAGAATCATAGGGTATACCTGGAGGGACCATGTGTCCAATCAGAGGATACTCCATGAAGCTGATTCAAGACCTATTACCAGTCTGATACGAGAGCGCCAACTTCAGCTCTATGGACATGTGGCTCGTTTCATATATACACACACATACCCATAAACACACATACATATCTATATACATACATACACACATATACATACACATACACATACATGCATATACATATACTTATGCATGAATATATACACACATGTACACAAATATACATATTACGTATATATACTCATGTATACCCTCATGTACTAGCACAGGAACATACACTTACATATTGTACTTTTACACATAACTATATGCATACATATAACTGTACATGACCATCTACATATTGCATACACTTATATAAATACATATATAAGTTTAGACGCTCATGAGTATTCCTTGTCTTGCATGCACACGCACATGGACACATACACACAAACATGAATACACCTGCATACGTGCTCATACTGTGCACAAACGTTTCAGCAGTGTGTGCCTGAGCACATATACGCACTCCATAATAATAAGCCCATGCATTATAATCTGCATAAATCGTAGGCTTGCAGCTGAGCGGTTGAGGGGAGAAGGCGGGTGATGTGGGAGAGGAGAATTTAGGACGATTTTGGAATGGGCAAGGATGAGGTTTGGGGTTAGAGGAAGTTAGAAAGGTGATTTTGCATCTGGCAGTTTTTCAGAGTGGTGTCGCATTCCGTAGCACTTGCTATGCCTCCCGCCGTGCTGCCTCGGCTGACCGCGACCATGGGTTAACGTCTGGCACTCAACTGAGGTGCCATCGCTTAAATTACACTTTTTTAATGTATAGTTTATCTTCTTTCGAATGGCTGATTTTACTTGTCGCTTTATGGTAACCATGTTTAAACCTACTTGTTTTTGTGATGTACTGTACTTACATAGTCGCGGTTTGGCTGTTCCTTAGCGAATCTACTTGAGGGAAAACTGTAATACCCATGCGATTTGACTTTATTATTCGGCGTCCTGTGGGTATGGGGACAGGTAATGCTTGCCATTTTCTAATTTCGCAATTTGATATACTTTTCCTGGTTGGGAGGGGGGTTATTATTATCTCTTTTTTACGGCTCTTTCTATCTACTGCGGCACTCTCGATGAGCACTGGGGACTATTTAGCACGGTGATGGAACCTAGTACCCTAGTTAGCACCTTCTGGTACTCCTTTTAGTTTAAAAAGTCCACGTATTAGAGGTCCTGGAAGTAGCTCTCGAGGCGCTGCATGAGGAGGCGAAGCCGTTGGGACTCGCGGTCAACTGGACCAAGACCAAGGTTCAGGAATTTGGGGACTTTTTGGATGTCGATGTTCAGTCTGTGCATGCCTGTGGCGAGAACATTGAGGTCTTGGATAGCTTCACTTATCTTGGTAGTGTAGTGCAGAGCGACGGAGGTTCTGACCGGGAAGTCACTCGACGACTTGGACTGGCCTACGGCGTTATGGACTCACTCAATAGGAATATTTGGCGCTGCCGGTATTTGACTAGAAGAACTAAGATCAGGCTCTTCAGAGCACTGGTGATCCCGGTCTTACTCTATGGGTGTGAGACCTGGACACTGAACAGAGCTCTGAAAGCCCGTCTTAACTCCTTCGGTACTAAGTGTCTTCGCAGAATCATAGGGTATACCTGGAGGGACCATGTGTCCAATCAGAGGATACTCCATGAAGCTGATTCAAGACCTATTACCAGTCTGATACGAGAGCGCCAACTTCAGCTCTATGGACATGTGGCTCGTTTCATATATACACACACATACCCATAAACACACATACATATCTATATACATACATACACACATATACATACACATACACATACATGCATATACATATACTTATGCATGAATATATACACACATGTACACAAATATACATATTACGTATATATACTCATGTATACCCTCATGTACTAGCACAGGAACATACACTTACATATTGTACTTTTACACATAACTATATGCATACATATAACTGTACATGACCATCTACATATTGCATACACTTATATAAATACATATATAAGTTTAGACGCTCATGAGTATTCCTTGTCTTGCATGCACACGCACATGGACACATACACACAAACATGAATACACCTGCATACGTGCTCATACTGTGCACAAACGTTTCAGCAGTGTGTGCCTGAGCACATATACGCACTCCATAATAATAAGCCCATGCATTATAATCTGCATAAATCGTAGGCTTGCAGCTGAGCGGTTGAGGGGAGAAGGCGGGTGATGTGGGAGAGGAGAATTTAGGACGATTTTGGAATGGGCAAGGATGAGGTTTGGGGTTAGAGGAAGTTAGAAAGGTGATTTTGCATCTGGCAGTTTTTCAGAGTGGTGTCGCATTCCGTAGCACTTGCTATGCCTCCCGCCGTGCTGCCTCGGCTGACCGCGACCATGGGTTAACGTCTGGCACTCAACTGAGGTGCCAT